AGTGGTGAAAAGAGTGTGTTGTAAATACTTCTCCGCCTTGCTGTGGGTGCAAAAGGAGAGTCACTATTGGTATTAGTGCAATACTCAGAGGGTTCCTCTAGGGAGTGGATGTAGGTCTGGTTTTAGACCGAACCACTATAAATTTGGTGTCATTTACTTTACTGTTTTTACATTTCCGCATTTAATTTTTTTTGTTTTAAAAACTCTTTGGTTGAAAAACATTTTCTACAAAACTTAAAAGAAATAATTTTATTTCGGTTCAACATATTTTTAAAAGAGGGCTTAAAATTTTTAAACTACCAATTCCCCCGCCTCTTTGTAGCCTTGGGACATTAACTTAGGCTTAATATCCTAATTACTAGACTCAACACAGTTGGTGGAGCGATTCGACCTGTGGGAACTTCACTTCGAGGGATATGTTGCTACACAAGAGCAGCAACATGCTGAGGACTTAGCCCATTTTGATGCCTACGTTGCACACCAGCAGCAGCAGTACGACCAGGACATGGCATGGTTTGGATCTCAGTTTACCGCAATGACTAGTTACATTCAAAAGCCTCCACCACCACCTCCTCCACCTTCAGATGATCAGGGCCCATCATTTTTGTATTCTTTCTTTTATTGTAGTTTTTTTTTTAATTTTTCTGTTTGTAGTTTTTATTTTCTATTTTACTTTTCCCCCTCCTTTTTGTGATGTCAAAAGGGGGAGTGATTTGCTGTACTACTAGGTGCTTTGTACTTTAAAAGTTGACTTGTGTTCTTTTCCTTCACATTGTCTTCATTAAACTAACTGAACTCCATAGATTTTTTCTCGTGTGTTTGCCATAATCAAAAAGGGGGAGATTGATGCATATCTGTTTTTTAGAAATATAATTTTGATGATTGCAAACACTTATATTTTACTTTGACTGCCTTGCCTACTGGCATTTCAGGACAACAAGATCAGAGGGCAATCAAAACCAGCTCATGATTGGGTAGACTAGGTCTAAGTCAGTTTGTAATATACTTTTTCCCTTTCTTGAGTCAATTATAATCTTTAAGGTGTCTGATGCTAAGTAACCCTACACACACACTTGAGTGATTTTTTGTCTGAATTTAAAGTTTTTTTATTTTGCTCACATCGGTCGGGATGATATTTATATCGGCCTGGACGATCGGTTCAAAAATAAAAACCCTAATCAGGGTATCATGATTAAGGTAGCCGTCATTAAGTCGATCAACTGAGATGATATTGTATCGGCCGGGATGATAGGCTCAAATCAGAAAGAATTAGACGCTATGATCTATTTAGGTATTCTTTATTTTAGGACATCGGTCAGGACAATATCCTATTGGCCTGGACGATGCAGCACAATTATGCCTAAATTAATCTGATAATTATAGAAAGTAATTAAGGCTAATTACACGATCACATCGGCTGGGCCAATCGCAAGATCGACTGGGACGATGGCGTGGATGATTGATATTGGCCTACTTCAATTCAGGGTGAAGTCCAGGATGATTTGGCTCGAATTTAAGCTAATCGGCCAGGATGATATCCTATCATCCTAAAAGATGTGACCAAAATTACTCTAATCGTCCCAAACTAACTTGGCTGATTGAGCAAAATTTGTGCTGATCGGCCAGGCCGATACCCCTATCGGCCTGGATGATAAAATCATTTTGTATAAAATAAGAGCTATTCTGAAGCTCTTCTTTTTAAGATCTCTTTCTCTACCTTAGAAGA